TGGTTCTCGCTGATTGTCATCTTATTTCAGCCTTCCCTGCTCGTCCCCCAAGTCACCTCTCCTTTCTGGCTAAACAGGCTTCTCCATTCAGTCTAGTCACTGGTGTCAGTCATTCCAAAGCATTCTAATAACAGTCTAGAATCCTGTAGCCTGTAGCTTTCTAAAGCTTGTAACTCTCTATTCAGTGCCATTTCATTGTTTAAGAACCTAATGCTGCACATTGCTCTGTCCTCCCCCCACCCTTCTTTTAGAAGCGACCTTATTCTCTGGGCTCGGGGACATTTGAACATGTGGTGGCACTCATCACAGGTACTTCTGCATCATCTCTGGATTCTTCACTACTCTGTGACTTCCTTGGTTACAGAGGTGCTTAATGATTGTATGCTGAGCGATGCAGGAGTCAAACAGGGACGCCTGAATACATTTTGGTTGGTTTTGTTGTTTTCTTGGTAATTAGAACCTATTATGTCCAGATAAGGATAGCAACTGGGGAAAAGTCTGTTATAGAGAGTCTGACAATCTGATGACTTTTATCCTGGGTTTTATGCATTTACAGCATTGTTTGGGTAGTGAAGGTGTTAATTTTACTGGTACAGTGTAATAATTATTACCTTTTAGCAAAAGTACATTATAATAATTACAGCCTAGTCTCTTCAGAGAGAATCCTAATGTAATTGACTTTTCACTGAACACATCTTTATTTTCACTACTTTTCTGGCTTTTTGGTAACTTGAGAAAACTCTGTGTAACACTCACCTTTGGTGCCTTTCACCTGATTATTTGGCAAATAAAAGACAAATTATGCATAGAAAGTTATGCATATATCACTGCAGTCCTTTACCACTGTATTTATAGATGAACAGACTGATGCATAGTTTGACTTTTTTTTTTTTTTTACTTATGGCTAATTAGTGGCTAAACTAAGAATTAAATTCATATCTTGATTTTTTTAGGCTTCTCTGATTATTCCTCTGTATATTTGGCAAAATAGTGATTAATGACATCATTGGATTTTTGTGGCCCATTAAAATATGTTGGTCTGCTGTACTGAAAAAATGGAACTTGTGATACATCTCAGTTTATTCTTTTCTGAAAGGTTAGAGGCAGGAAAACTTATACCTCCTGAATCTCTCTTTTTTAAAAACTGTACATAAGTGACAATGGATGTTTCTCAAAATAACATTATTTGAAATGGACAGAAAACAATATTTTCTGCTGTTTGTATGTGTTTATATATATATCTATATTTGTATCTATCTCTCTATCCCTTGAACCTAGTAGAAATGATTTTGCTGTTAAAAATTACTATTTCTGTGTTTCCCCAATATAAGAAATGCTCATTCATAAAATTGATTTTTTTAAAAAAAAATCATGAAAATAAGACTGTATTTTGACAGTTCATTGATGTAGCAGCTTCATTCATGCGGGAGCAGTGTGATGTAAAGCTGACACTGAGCTCTGCTTGTGGTAGGAAGTGCCTCACCCCTGGGTACCTGTTAGGAGTCTCATTTAGTAACATCCCTTGGCACCTCTGAGTAAAAGCCAAAGATCCAGTTTCGTGAGCTAATGTGAATTGTTCTTAAGGATTTTTATTCTTTTTTAGCAGCATTACTTGTTCCTTCCTTCCACCCACCCCCAACTTGATTGCCTTTCTTTCTTCATCTGTGGGCACTACTTTATTTAGGATCTCACCTTCTCTTGTCTGGAGTATTACGGTATTCTGCCAACTGATTTTCTATTGCCCTTTCCAGTCGTTCCTCCATTCTGCTTGCTTTCTCAAATGTACACTTGATTATGTAACTTCTTGCCTGAAAAATCTTTTCATGGTTCTTTAGTATTGGATACAATGTTTCCCATGACCTGTCTTTGTATGTTATATCCAAAAATTCCCCCACCTAAGCCTCATCTATCCATAACAAGTTCAAAGATGTATGAAATAGCTGTGATGTACCAACTCTTCTGACCAAAACATGTTATCCCTTCTGGTCATAAGTAGAAGAGAAGTCTATTTCCTAATTCTGAAGCTTAACATCTTCATTTCTGTCATTTTCCCTCCCATGGGCTCCATGCTTGTCCTCACTGGGTTGGCTGATGGCCATTTTCCTGTCTATTAATAATAATTTTAGAAATATGATGTCTATATAGTTTCCTTATATCCTCTCGGTAGTTATTTATGTCCATTAAAGTCTTTGCACTAATCATTGCTACCATTCTGTTTCTTTTTTACTTTTTCCCCTTGGAATTTAGTTCTATTGCCTATTCTTTCGAAGTATGGAGGAATAGGATTTACACTACCATTCAGGCAAATGTGTGGGTCCTTTTTATATATCTCCTCTTTGTACTTAGTATACTACATTAATCTGGGCTGAGAGAAGCTTCCTTGTGCTAACCACTGGCACTATTTACTCAATAACTATAGTCATGTTCATACATCGTTTTACCATTTTTAGAGGACTTTTGTATTTCTTAATCAGTTGATCTGAACAGTCCTGTTAGAGGATTACACTCACTTTATAGACTATGAGGCTGAAGGTCATATGGGTCATTGGCGTGGCCCCGAACCTCCCAACTGGGTGGGGGCTCCTCTGCAGGATTGTGCTCCCCCCCCGCCCCCTTCCAGTCTGTTTTCTCTGTACTCATTGGGCAAGGCTGCCATGGCTCTGTGTACTGGAATATGATTCACTGGTTTTAATTAGTACTTTGAATATATTATTTCACTTGATTACCAGCATTCCTGGCAGTGGGCATGCCTGGCATTATTAATGCCATTTTACAGATGAGGTTAATGCAAATCAGGACGGTCAAGAGACTCACCCCGGTTTGCCAGCTAGTGACTCAGAAAACAAAAACCAGGGAAGGTCTTCGGACACCGAGCCCATTGCTGTTTCCATTGGCCATGCTGCCTCTTTGCTCCACTGTAAGATATATTGGAAGCTGAAGCACATTTTTATTTTTGGGATTTCATTGACACAATTATCTGGTTTTGCTCTATACTAAAGAGGGTCCTAATAGATCATGACAGGAGATTTGACTTTGGGTGGTGGGCACACAGTGCAATATATAAACCTTGTAACATCGAAACCCACACCTGAAACCTTTATGTTCATGTTGACCAATGTCACCCCAATAAATTTAGTAAATTAAATGGCAGCTGTTGGTTTAACTAAGCATGAGTTTTATATGCCACGGAACCACTGTGATTAAAGGAATGGTTATAATTTAATGATACATTATCAGAAACTTGTTACTTCAGGGAGAAATATACCAGAGGCAGGAAGATGTGTTTCGGGTAAGGGATCATTCTGTATCACTCCTTGGCATTCCACTCATCTTGCTCTCTGTAATTTTCAGGCCATTCTTAGCCCGTGGAAGGACGATAGGGAGGGGAATTCTACACTCCTAATAGTCTCCTAGCCAGTGGCTGCAGCATCCCAGCAGTACTGTAGTTTTGCTTCATCATTCATTCCCATTGTGTAGTCAGTACAATTGATTGATTGTAGGGACAGCAGCCTTTCTACAGAGCCTCTTGAGTGTGTATATTTATATTGTTCAGCAGCAAGAATCTTTACTGACCTGGTACAATGTGGAGGACACAATGATGCTTTATTCCAGGTTTCCCCTTAGTTGTAGAGTCTGCATAGAGCAGTGATGGCGAACCTTTTGAGCTCAGCGTGTCAGCATTTTGAAAAACCCTAACTTAACTCTGGTGCTGTGTCACATATAGGAATTTTTTGATATTTGCAACCATAGTAAAACAAAGATTTATATTTTTGATATTTATTTTATATATTTAAATGCCATTTAACAAAGAAAAATCAACCAAAAAAATGAGTTTGCGTGTCACCTCTGACACGCGTGTCCTAGGTTCGCCATCACTGGCATAGATTATGGTCTGATTGTGGTTTTCTGTGTAAGCCAGCAGCTGGTTTTCACTCTGTCAGTGTCTGAATGTCCGCATCTGAGTCACCGTTTATGGAGTTAGGCATGGGTGTGGTGCTATATGTAAGGACATAAAAAATTATATAAGTATATACATACCAAGTTAAAAATCCTAATTTATGAATAATATTACAGGGAAACGTGTTATTGTATGTGAAGAGGTAGGGAATCGGGAGTCAAAAGGTCTGAGTTCCTTATTGCGCTGTGGGCTTGCTTTCTGATCTAACAAGTTTCCAACTCCTCTGAGCTTGTTTCCTCATTTGTCCAATGTAAAATAAAAATGCCCGTCAGGGCTGTGAGGATGTTATTTACAGGATCTAGATAACTACTCTGCATATGTAAAATGCCATATAAATGTTATTTATTTTAGTAAACAGTGATTACTATATGTCAGGTCTTTTTACATAATTTTTAAAATTTTTCAATTATAGTTAACATAACAATACTGTGTTATACACATAGTGATTAGACATTTACATACCTCATGAAGCGATCACCCCGATAAGTCTAGTACCCATCTGACACCATACATAATTACTGCAGTGTTACTGACGATATTCCCTATGTGGTACTTGATGGAAAGTTATTTCGATTCAGACCTCCTGTCAACAGTGCAAAGCAGGCATTATTATCTCCATTCGACAGATAAGGAACCAGGGATACAGAGTGTCTAAGGAACTGGCTGAGGGACTTACCACTAGTGCATAGTCCTGATTTAAGCTCCAGTTTCTCCTTTGCTGTGCTGACTGCTGTTAATTATGGACCAGCAGTAGAGGTTTGAACTTTAACAATTTGCATTATGCTTCTAAGAATGGAAGTGGCATGCTAGACTAGACATAAGGGAGAGCCAGACTGTCACTATAGTTTTGCACTGTTTTAGGGAAGTTACTACTTAACTGGATTCTACTAAATGCCTTTAAAACACTTAGTTATGTTTCTGCTAAGATTTATGTATAAAATGTTTTCTCATTCTGACTTAACATCTGCATAAAAAATTCCCTTTGATGTGATCTAAAATGTCTTACAAGTCTTATCTTAATAATTTTTCTTTTTCTCCTTAGTCATTCCTACACTGGTCAAGATTACAGTACACTGGGCAGTGCTGGGAAGATTTCTTTGGATCAGATTGACTCGGTAAGCATCACATCCTTTTAAATGTAGATCTTTGTCAGTGGAGGAAGCACAGGTTTTCTTCAACCAAAGATGATTTTGGGGTCGGAATATTGGGAGACATTATTATTCCTTTGTCTGCCAATCATTTTAAAAGAAATCCTATTTGCTATAAAAAATGTAGATCTTTGTCAGTGGAGGAAGCACAGGTTTTCTTCAACCAAAGATGATTTTGGGGTCGGAATATTGGGAGACATTATTATTCCTTTGTCTGCCAATCATTTTAAAAGAAATCCTATTTGCTATAAAAAAATTTTTTTTAAATCATAAAAATATGAAAATTAATCAGAAAATTATTTGTGTTCTGATGAAAACAGGATTTAATTCATTCTTGTAATGGGGAATTCTTTTATAGCAAAGTGGTGTTCATGTATTTATATTTAAATAACATGTGCATTTAGAAAAGAAGAAATGGAAAATGCTAAATGTATCTGTTTGCTAGGTTTCTGTAACAAAATAACACAGACTGGGTGCTTTAAACAACAGAAATTTATTTTCTCCTAGTTCTGGAGGCTAGAATTCCAAGATCAAGGTGTTAGCACATTTGATTTCTTGCGGGGCTCTTCTCACTGTGTTCCCATGTAGTCTTTCCACTGTGCACCCATCCCTGCTGTCTCTTCCTCTTCCTAGGAATTGGCCCAGGGGCCCAACCCCATGATCTCATTTAACTTTACCTTTTCAAAGGCCCCACATCCAAATAAAGTCACATTCTGAGGTACTGGGGGTTAAGAGTTTACCATGAATTTTGGGAGGATGAAATTTTTTCTATAACACTAGGTATAGGCTCCCATCCTTGGGTTGCCACTAGATTCCTGGCCAGCTCATTACAGCTCCACTTTGTGGTTCCATTGTAGAATGAAAGAATAGCATACTTTACTGTAGTCTGTAGGATTTCTCTTTAACACATAATTGATTTTCCACTTTATCCAAAAAAATGGAAAATAAACCAGCCATAAATTATGATCAACACTGGCGGTTAATATGTCTAGACATAACAATAGGATTTCCCACCTTTTATAGTTGATTTGAAATCTCTAACACTTTCTCCTGCCTAATGATTGTGTTTATGTTCTGAGAATAGTTAGAAGTTAATTCTATTTCTAATTCTATCATATTCATTCAAACAAATGTGAAATTAGTTGGATACTGTAGGAAGATACAGAAATATAGTCATTAATTCACTTAGTGAGTATATATTGAGCCCATCAGTTAGATACCAGCCACTGTGATATGGATACAGAGGTGGATAAAACAAGAATAACCTATTTCTTCATTGACCTTACTTGAGGGAGGTAGACAACATATAATAAAAGGCCAATATGCAAATTGTACCCTCGGGAGTTTGACAGACTGGGAGTTCGACCTACCGGGAGTTTGACCGCTTGCTATGATATGCACTGACCACTGGGGGTGGCACGGAACGAGGGAAGACACCTGCTGGCAGCCGGCAGCTGGGAAAGGAGGGGCCATGGCCGGCAGCCAGAAGGCCCCAATTGGCCCTGAACGCCAGCCAGACCTAGGGACCCTACCCGTGCATAAATTTCATGCACCGGGCCTCTAGTAGTAAATAATAAGTAAGCAATATCATGATGAATTACATTAAGTGCTGTGATGGTCATTTCTGTCTGTGGGTCTGTGACAGATCCTGTGCTGGGTGTTAGATACACCCTTATCTGGATCTCTTCCTAACTCACATCATTAGCACAGCCCTCAGTGTTCTCCATGGCTTTTCTAAATGTTTCCTTTAGATTTCTAACTGAAGTCTGGCTCCCTCGATGACACCATTTGCCCTCTAGACTCTTTCAAGTAGAAGCTGCTTTTTCCTCCCCACACCCTACGTTAGGTTATGGGATGTGTCTTCCTTGATCCACATGACCACTTCCAAACTGTTTCTCTGCCTCCATTGTCAGAACTCCAACTCCTTTCAAGCTCTGTGATCCTATTGTACCACCTTGTTACTTACAGTTCTTGGCCTCCACAACACCCATGTTGATAATTCACCCCGTACTCTGGCCTTATAATCCCTTGTCTGCTTAATATCCACAATCATTTCTCTGTGCCACTTTGGCCTAACCTAGATGACCTCAGCTTTTCCATTTCCATTTTTGGATTACTGCCAACATCTCTTAAACATCTTTCCTGCCTCTGTACAGTCTGTTTGCTACATTACAACCAGAGTTATCTTTGTTTATCAGCTCATGTCAGTCTTCTGGTCGCAACCCTCTGTTGGGTTTCACCACCTTTAGACTACAATCCAAACTCATGATTATGGCCTGTAAAGCCGTATGTACTTATCATTTCAATTTCGTCATCTCCATTCTGGCTGACTCACTGTGCTCTGGCCATAGGGGCCTCTTTGCTCGTTCTTGAGCAACCAAGATCATTCCTTATCAGGACCTTTGCTTGCGTGTCCTTCACTGGAACAGTATTCTTGGATCTTTCTTGGACTGGAATCCTACTTACGCTGTACGTCTTAGCTGCAGTGCCATCTCCTTGGAGGGGCTTCTCTGGCCACTCAAGTTGTAATCTTCTCCCATTTATATTTGACCCTATTATTCTACTTTATTTCCAGTGCTTTTGGAATCAGATATTATCTTTTTTTTAAAAAATTTATGTCAGTTTATTGACTATCTCCTCCCATGAGACTCTAGCTTCTTTAACAATAGGGTGTTTGGTTCACTGCTGGTTGCCCAGGACTGTACACACAGTAGTATTCAATAGATATTTAGTGATTAAATAAGTAATCAAGGAATTGTGCCACAAGCTGTTGAAGTTGCACATGGCTTGGTTTTGGCTAGAGAGCATGGGGAGTGCCAAGACTATACCAGACAGGGTTGGTGGAGTGAGAAAAGTGAGAAGGTACAAAACATGACTTAGGATCATGGGATAACCCAGCTAGCTGGAGCAAAGTGTTCGTGATGGTATAGTATCAGACTGGGCCTTCTTACCCCTCCCTGTCACAGTGCTTCCATGGCACTTGATTTATGCCCTTGTTGGAGTCCTTATTATGCAATTTATTATATGAGTTTAACATATAAACATTGACTGTAATAGTGACTGTTTCTTTTTTTAACTGAATTACAGGGAGATTTATGTTTTATTCACCTTCTTGTTACCTAAAACATTCAATAGATGTTTGTTTTGTGACATATAATTGAAAAGTGGTTCATTATAGACATTGAGGGAATCTTGCATGTTCGAACTAAGGATGTTGAATATTCATTGAACTAGAACAATAGTTAAGAAAAGTAATTTTGTAATAGTATGAAGGAACACAGAAACCTTTCCAGTAGTGCTGCCAAGGGAGGATAGAGACCTGACTGAACTAGGGATGGAAAATTCAGTTGTTATTATGAAAGGACAAAGAAACTGGTGGCCACTAGAGGGAGCAGCAACCTCAAGCAAAGTGAGACCTGCTCCTGTTTACAGGTAAAGTTGAGCTTGCCAAGGAATACATGAGGGGGTGAGAATTTGTCTTGAGAGGAGGCTATTTGAGGAAGTCAGAGAGAATGCAGTTAAGACCATAAATGAAAAAGTTGAGTTGAAAGTGGGCAATGATAGTTATAGTTTATGTTTGACACCAAAGGAAAGACCTATGATTTTCTTCTTTTAACTGTTGATTTCTTTAACACTTTTTTTTTTTTTAGGATTTCTTTTGAGAACCATTTCTCTTATTTTTGTGTGCTACTTTGTATTTGGGTTATTTTAAAAGTTCATCTGTGATTCAGCCACTGTACTTTTGAACATTTATCCCAGGGAAATGAAATCTTATGTTCACACAAAAACCTGTACCTTCATTTTATTTGAAATAGCCCCAAACAGTATGAAATAGCCCAAGTGTCCTTCAGCAAGTGAAAGGTTAAACAAATTGTGGTTCATCCATACCGTGGAATATTACTCAGCAATAAAAAAGGAATGAGCTACTGATATTTGCCGCAATTAAGATGAATTTTGTGGGAATTATGCTGAATTAAAAAAACCTAATCCCAAAACATTACATACTATCTGATTCTGTTTACATACCATAGCTGAAATGACAACATCATAGGGCTAGAGAACAGATTCATAGTTGCCCAGGGTGAGGGGCTGGGAAGGGTGCAGAAGGTAGGTGGGGTGGTTATAAAAGGGAAGTACGAAGGATCCTTGTGGTGGTAGAACTGTTTTGCATCTTGACTGTGATGGTGGATGCAGGAACCTGCGTGTGATAAAATTACGTAAAGCTACATAAATATAGAAATGGGCACATAAGTGCAACTGAGGAAATCTAAGACTGGTGGATTATTGTCAGCATCTTGGATGAGATAATAGACTATAGTTTTGCAAGCTATTACCTCTGGGGAAAACTAGTCATCTGATATCTCTTTGTATTATTTCTTACAACTGCTTGTGAATCTATAGTTTCTCCAATGAAAAAAATTAATTTAAAAATTTTAAATAGATGAAATACATTTTTGTAATATATTTTATTTAGCCCCCAAAGCAGAATATTTATAATTTCAACATGTAATCAATATAAAATATTAATAAGAAAGTTCATCTGTAATCTCAGTAGGATAGTAATCCTTATCATTTTTGTTTTTACACCAATTAGACTGAATTTGCTAATTAGATTGAATTTGCAACAAATACTGTGAGTGACTTGGTAAGTCTTTCATTTTCTCTTGTAGCTTTGTACCAAATCCTTCCCACCATGCATGCGTCAGTTACACAAAGCTTTGCGGGACACTCACCATCTCCGCCACGGGGGCCGCATGCAGTATGGCCTCTTCCTGAAGGGCATTGGCTTAACGCTGGAGCAGGCACTGCAGTTCTGGAAGCAAGAATTTATCAGAGGAAAGATGGATCCAGACAAGGTAATTTTGAAAAACCAGAGCAGTAAGTGGAATTTTACTTTGGTTTGAAACTAAACGGTCTGATTTTCAATATGCCCGTGAAATGTAGTTGACAGTTCTAAACGATAAACATGTCTGTAGTTTCTTTTAGGTAAAAAGAAACTCATGTACTAATGTAATAGATACTAAACAAAAGATTGGGAGAGTTAATTCCAAGGGGAAGATTGAAACAGCAGGGCCAGGTGTAAACTGATGCTAAAATGAAGTCTTCTCCTCTATGGGTATTCAGGCAGCAGCTGTGATAAGATGGCAGTTTCTCTCTGAGTTATATTTCTGTGGGAATGTATATGTCTGTGTAATATACAAATGTACGTGTGTGTGCGTGCAGCTGAGTCAGCTCTGATTCCTGGCTGTCCTGCGAATGACTGATGTCCACAATGTCGTGTCCTCAGTCTTTAAAGTCATTGTTTTGTTTTCCTTATTTGTTGACATATCCTTGTTCGGAGTATAACAGACAGATTCCGTGTCTGGGTTGAAATAATTCTCTTGGTTTCCCAGCCACCCCTGGGGGTTTATTTCTTCCCAGTACTGTGAAGGCAGCGTTCACTTCACTTTCTAGAATCACAGGTTCATCCTCCTAGGACTCTTCCAAGGTGCCCGCCCTCCTTTGTTCTGTGTAGATTTTCAGCATATTGTTTCCACCTTCCCTTCACTTTCTCCTGGTCAGGCAATGTGCTTCTTTGTCTGCTTGCGGTTCTTGAATCTTCTGGTAGCAATTTCTGCTTTTCCATTGTCATTGTTCTCTTCTCTCTCCTTATATTGACATTGTAATGATTCTCTTTATTTCTACTGTGATCATTGTTTAAAAAGTGAGTTCAGGAGTTCAGGATTCTAACCTTGGCTATGTCACCTTTTACTTTTGCCTCTGGTCTTGCCTCTAACAATTTTTAGTGTTTCTTCTGTCATCCATCTCAATTTGTCTTTCCTTTTTACTTCTGGATTTTTATTTTATTTTTTTGCATTCTTCCTCCATAATATTTCTAGTTTCAGTTCCTCTGGTTCTTGGTCAGTTCAGTTTCACAGTGCAATCTGCTTTTATGTGGGCTTTAAAGCCGTCAGGAATGTTAACGTTATATTTTGGCACTGCGATTCCTTTGTGCTGTTCTTCAGCTTGACTCTAATGTTCGATGCTAACAGTTCATGGTCAGCACACAACCTGCTCCTGCTCTCGTTTGCAGAGCGAGCACAGCTTCTCCGTCTCCTGCTTCCAGGCACACAGTCTGTCGGATTTCTGCATTGGCCGCCTGGTGATGTCCATGTGGACAGTTGCTTGGTCACTTGTTTGAAGCATGTGTTTACAGTCGACAAGTTGCTAGCTTTGCCCAAATCCATGAGCCACTCTCCTGCTTTATTTCTGACCTCTAGTTCAAGTTTGTTTGTTTGTTTTTTAAATATATTTTATTGATTTTTTTACAGAGAGGAAGGGAGAGAGATAGAGAGTTAGAAACATCGATGAGAGAGAAACATCGATCAGCTGCCTCCTGCACATCTCCTACTGGGGATGTGCCTGCAACCCAGGTACATGCCCTTGACCGGAATCGAACCTGGGACCTTTCAGTCCGCAGGCCGACGCTCTATCCACTGAGCCAAACCGGTTTTGGCTAGTTCAAGTTTTTTAATGACATTTGATTCTGCTTTATTTCCTACTTTTGTGTATCAGTTTTTATATTTATCAGCATGTCTTGTTTTGGTGTATGATCAGTTTCCTCTTGGATACCTGTGTAAAAGTTTTCCGTTTTTTCTTCTCCAATCTCTGTAGTTGGAATTTGAAAGATTGTTACATTAACAGGTTTTCCTAGAGGTCTGATTACTTACATGCACATGTCATGTCATTCAAGCTGAAAACTATTTAAAATGTTTTCTATTGTATTATGCTAAGTTACATCATGGAGCATTTTTAAGTAAACATTAAAAAACTGCTTTTTTTGTTCATCAGTTTATGTTGTTCATTAGATTCCACATATAAGTGAGATCATGTGATACTTATCTTTCTCTGATTGGTGAGGACAATGGGGGAAAGAGGGGATATATATAATATTTTCAGTAATAAGGATAAAAAAAGAACTGCTTTTAAGTCTATTAACTCAGATTCCCACTCCTATTCCTTATTTAATAGTGCTAGCTAATAACATTTTATTTTGGAAATATGTTTTTTTATCCCTTCAAAGCCATGACACTGGTACAAAGTAAATTTTTTTATTGTTTATTTCTTAGTTTTCTTCTTCCCAGTAAAGATAAATGATAAAACCAAGAATATTTATCAAGTACATTGTATGACACTGTATTATGTCTTATATTAGTCCCTTAGGGCTAATACAGCATAGACGGGTGCTTTAAACAACAAGAATGTATTTTCTCCAGTTCTGGAGGCTGGAAGTCCAAGGTCATGGTGTGGGCGGATTTGTTTTCTTCTCAGGCCTCTCTCTCCAGCTTCCATCAGCCACCCTGTCGCTGTGTCCTCACCTGGCCTTCTCTCTGCGTTCACTTCCCTGATGTCTTTTCCTCTAGATAGCTAGACACCACTAGAAGGACACTGTCATAGGGATTGGAGTCCACCCTTACCACCCTACTTAGCCTCCAGGACCTCTTTAAATGCCGTATCTCCAAATGCAGACACTTGGTGAGTTAGGGCTTCAACATGTGCATTTCAGCCCGTAACATGTCCCTAGTTTATATATTTTTAAAGTTCAAGATTCTTTTATAACATCTAAAAAACTCTTATAATTTTTACAGATTTGTTTTAAAAACCGCTTCCATTGATAAATTCTTAATTTATCATTTAATAGGGTCTTCTTTAAACACAATTTTGGGCAATGTTTTTAGACTTCTAATATATATGTTAAAGGTAACATTCTGATTATAGAAAATATGAAAAATACAAAAAAATGACCTGCCATTTCCCCATTCAGAAATAATTATTGTGAAAATTTTAGCCTTTCCTCTGTAATCTAGATAGCTAAACACCACTATGTCCCTACCTTTTAAAAAGTGACATTCTGTTATCATTTCCCGTGTTGCTGAGTGATTTTTGAAAATATCATTTGGATTAGCTGAATGACAGCACATCCTTTGAAAGTGATTTAATTGGGTCACTCATTCCCCTATTATTGGACATACGGCTGTGTCTGTCTGACTCTGCCATCAATGGTATTGCATCGATATCCTGAACACATCAATCTTTGATTATAGTTCTGATTATGTCCTTTGTATATATTCATCAGGTAATAGAATTACCCGGTGAGAACTGTAGACAGGTTTAAAGTTTTGATGCATGCTAGGAAATGATGGTTCGGGAGGGTTTTAAATTAGACTCTTATCAAGCCGTGTATCTTGCTTTGTCATTGGAATTATGTATTATTACTTTAAAATGTTTTCCGATATTTTATTAGGAGTTTGATATATTAAGGAGGTAAGTGTATTAGGGTTTTCCAGAGGAATAGAGCCAATAGAACGGGTGTGTATGAAAAGAGATTTATTATAAGGGATGGCTCCTGTGGTTATGGAGGCTGACAAGTCCCAAGGTCTGCAGTCAGCATGCTGGGGACTCAGGAGTGCGCTAGTGTACTTCCAATTCACGTGCAGGAGACGTGAGACCCAGGAGGAGCTTAAGCTTGAGTCCGCGGGCAGGGAGAGCCCACAGCCCAGCATAAGGCAGTCAGCAGGAGGAAGTGCCCTGTTACTCACTGAAGGGTCAGCCTTTTTGTTCTATTGGTATCTTCAAAGGAGAGCTCAGGCCCCCCCCCCCCCCCCCCCCCCCCGCCCCACCACCAGGGAGGGTGATCTGTCATACCAGTCTCCCAATTCAGATGTCACTGTCATCCAGAATCACCCTCACAGACACGCAAGAATAATGTCTGACCATAGTCTAGGCCAGTGATGGCGAACCTATGACACGCAAACTCTTTTTTGTGGTTGATTTTTCTTTGTTAAATGGCATTTAAATATATAAAATAAATATCAAAACTATGAGTCTTTGTTTTACTATGGTTGCAAATATCAAAATATTTCTATATGTGACACAGCACCAGAGTTAAATTAGGGTTTTTCAAAATGCTGACACACTGAGCTCAAAAGGTTCGCCATCACTGGTCTAGGCACTCCTGGCCCAGTCAAGTTAACACAGAATTAATCATCACAGTAGATACATGTTCATGGACTGTAGTTCTGAAGTGAAAAGAGAAAAGTTGAGTTAGCAATCGAGCTTGGTTTGTTCTGTACACTGAGAGGGGGAAGAGGAAAGTGAGAGGAGGGAAAACTTGCTCTGAATACAAGCCTTTGATTTGTACACCTGTTCCCTGACCCGCCTTTTTTAGGTGTATCTGTGATGGCCTATGTATAAATGTATTTAGTTATTTAAAAACACACACAATAGTTTATTGATGAAAGAGAGAGAGAGGGAAACATTGATGTGAGACCACAACATCGATTGGCTGCCTTCTGCATGCCCTCTACCTGGGATCGAGCCTACATATAGGCTTGTGCCCTTGACCAGGAGTCAAACCAGCAAACTCCTGGTGCATGGGACAATGCCCAATCAACTGAGCCATACTGGCCAGGGCAGTATTTAGTTATTTTTAAACCTGTGTATATGAAAATATTTTTTGAATGTGAGTTTTATTTTGCATTGTAAAAGTTTTCTTCAGAAATTATTGCAAAAGGAAATCAATAAATAACTTGTACCTTTCTAGATAATATATAGCAATCTATATATTCATTAGCTTATTATTGATTACAGCAAATATATTATTTTGACAAAAAGACTATAAATTATGCATATGATTTATGGTGTCTGTCTAGTGTTCTATTGTTAGAGTCTGTATTTGTAAATACATGTTCATGCTTTTCTCAGTTGCATCTCTTACATCTTTTGCAATGAAATATTGTAAGTATCTTTTAGTTTATTAAAATATTCTCTTCAGTTTAATAATTGTAACTTTTTGTTAATTCTACATACAGTTAAA